GGCACAGGTCGCCTGTAGGAGTGCTGGTTGGTGGTCCACCCAGAAGCACAGCTGATGCACGGAGATAGGTCTGCAGTCAGGTGGCGCCTGTGCGAGGTATGCAAGCCCTTCCGGGATTTAGAGATTTACTGGATAGCCGGTTCAAGCCAAGGTCAGGTACCAGGTGGGAATCAGAGCAGACATAGTCAGATGGGATAGCCGAGGTCATACACAGAGGAGCGAGAGAGAGAGTATCCATAAGCCAAGCTCAGATCAGGGGTTAAGCAGAGTAGACAGGTCCAAGAGCAAGCCGAGTCGGTATCTGGAAATCACAATAACACAGGAAACAGGAACAAGGCACGGGGAGCTAGAGATCATCCAACAACTTGAGGAAGTGATGAGCCTCCTTATAAAGGCCGTCTGGTACCAAACTGAGGCTGATGTTTGCTTCTGTGGCCATGCAGAGTACTGGAAGAAATGCCAGATCTTCCAGAACTTCTGCTGTGGACAGAACCCTGACAGCTACTTAACTGACCTGATCAACATCCCAGGAGTTTAATTGACTTGATGCTCTACTCTGATTAAAACGTGTTTCTTTAATTTTTTTGAGCAGCGCATATAAACTCACACACACACAGAGATACAGTGCTGTGAAAAAGTATTTGCAGCCTGCCTGATTTTTTTTATTTTTTTGCATATTTGTCACAATTAAATGATTCAGATCATCAACAAATTTTAATATTACACAAAGATAACCCAAATAAATACAAACTTAAATTTTCTCAAAACATCTTTCAGGACAGCTCATGAGAAAACACAGCTTCTCCTCCTCTCGCAAGAGAAACACACACCCACATGGACTTCAAATTGGAGGCCTCTCCCCACAGTCCTCAGTTATCATGTTTCCTCTGGCCAGGTAGGAACATTCAGGAACTGTGAGGACTGCATTCCCTCAGGTACTATCTGAGAGAGGTCTCTGTTTTTCTTTACCTGTTTTCTTGCAGCAAGGGCCCTCCAGGCAGAGTCCAATTGGGGGGGGGGGACTGTTCCTGGCTCCTCTCTCCCTTTTCTGTACTCGGGGAGAGCCAGTACCATTGGATAGCCTGAAGCACTTTGGCCCTGTGTGGGCAATGGCAGCAGCCTTGTTTTTGGTGTCCAGTGGCATCGAGGCATGCCTGTGAGATCACTTCTGGGCAGGGGCGGAGCTTCTCGTTGGAAGTGTGACGTCAGTTCTGGCCACAGGATGCAGGGGGAGGGGTCAGGACCCAGCCAGTGCCTATTTCTGTTCCTGGGCCGGCACAGTGGTATTCCAGGAAGATGGGACCAGGGGACACAGCCACGTGGACCGCTGAAGGCTATGCTATGGACGAAGCAGGAGCAACTGCAGTTCTGGGGACAAGCGGAGGCACACGAAAAGTTCAGGAAGGAGAGGGCTTCCTATCGGCAACCTTTTTATGTTGCTTTTCTTGTCAGGGAATTGTGGTGTCTTTTTCCCCCTGGTGGCTTAGGGCTTGTCTTGTGCTCTGGATCCTTGGTGTGTTGGGTCAGTGCACTGGTGGTGTGGAGGTTTAGGCTCTGGCTGCACTGGGTGCATTTTGTGGTGCATTAAGGGCAGTGGCTAAGTGGTTTTGTTCCTTTGTCTTAGACTAAGAGCAGTAAAAAATAATCTAGCAAGGAGATGTCTTTCATGCAAGTGTAATCTCCAGATGCTTGGAAAAAGGCTTTATGCAAGAAGTGCGTTTCTGCTTCAGTGAGATAGGAGGCAGCTTCAACGTCTCGTGATTTTATGGCTTCTATGAAGGCTGAGTGGAGTGCTACCCTGCAGTTGTTCACGAATATGTTGAAGTCTTCTTCCCAGAGTGCTTCTGAGTCTACCCCCACACCACAGTCAGGAGATTCCTTGGAAGCAGGGTCAGGGATACCTTCTGCACAGGTTTCTGTCTCTCCTCCAAGGTCAGAGAGAGACTTAGAGGATGATGGGGAAGAGATGGAAGATTCCTCAGCATCTAAGTATAAGCTGTCGCTGGAGGAGGTGGAGTAAAGCTTCCTAGATTGTAAGCTCGAAAGAGCAGGGCCCTCAATCCCCTCATGTTTTGCATTGTATTGGTATTGTTCTGTCACATGTTCTGTCCCCCTTTGTAATGTACAGCGCTGAGCGAACTATTGGCGCTTTATAAATACTGTATAATAAAATAATAATAAAAGCTATTCACGCCACCTTAGATATTAAAGAGGAGGAAAAAGATCTCTCCTTCCATGATAAAATGTACCTGGGCCTTAGTGAACCAAAAGGGAGAGGTTTTCCTGTGCATTTGGCCATCTCAGACATGATAAAAAAAAGAGGAATGACAGGAACTGGAATGGAAACTGTTTTTTTCTAGATCTCACAAGAGACGGTTCCCGTTTGAAGAAGATTTGGCGTCAGTATGGAACAAAGTGCCTAGAGTAGACACTGTTTTTCCCAAGCCTCAAAAAGACCAGACTTGGCCTTTGAAGACATGGGGAGCCTGAAAGAGGCAATGGACAAAAGGATGGATCTGCTGCTGAAGAGAGCATGGCATTCCACAATGGAGAATTTGATGCCAGCTATGGAAGTCACATGCGTAACAAGGAATTTGGAGCATTGGTTAAACCAGCCAAAGGTGCATATCAGTGCAGGGACCCCAAAGGAATAGACTTTAGATTCCTTCCCTACAATCACAAGAGCTGTATGTATATAGCAGATGCCTCTGCAGAATCCATATGCATGACAGCTGCCTTGTCTAACTCAATGAGAAGGGCCAAATGGTTAAAGACATGGCAGGGGGACTCAACATCAAAAGTCAGGCTGTGTGGAATCCCTTTTTCAGGAGATCTCCTTTTTCGGCCAGGCTTAGAGTCCATTTTAGATTGCACAGCGGACAGGAAAAAAACAAGTTCAAAAATGTTTTTTTTCATCCACAGAGAAGCTTGCAAGGGGATAAGCCGCAAGGAAATAAAAAGGTCTGGGCATCACAGAAAGGAAGAGAAAAAGGAGGAGTCCTTTTCCCATTCTCCTGCACAGCCCAAAAAATCCCAATGTCCCACTGCCTCCGGTGGGAGGAAGACTACAGGCATTCCTTCCACATTGGGAGAAGATAACATTGAGCCTGTATATCCGAAATCTAATCAGCACGAGTTACGAAAAAGAGTTTGCAGAGGCTCCCCTAAGAAGGTATTTTGTCACAGATATTCCAAAAAATCCGGTAAAAGCTCTTGCTATGAAGAACCTGATTCAGGATCTGATTTTTCAAACAATGGTGGTTTCGGTCCCGTCAGGAGAGGAACAGATGGGGTTTTATTCCCACATTCCGTTAGTGAGAAAACCATCAGGAAAATTCTGGTTAATCTTCAACTTAAACCCTTTGAATAAAGCAGTGCAATACAAGCGGTTCGGAATGGTGGTCTCCATCTTTTCGGTCAAAAACCTGCTGTTCCCAGATTTCTTCAAGGCATAAATCAATCTAAGGGACGCCTGTCTGCACATCCCAATCAGAGAGCGCTCCCAAATATTTTTGAGGTTGGCCTTGAGGTCAGAGTACGAGGTTCAACGCAATTCAGGGCACTGCCTTTTGGGCTGTCATCATCTCTTCGCATTTTCAGCAAGGTAATGCCCTAGCTCAATTGAGGCTCAGAGGTGTGATGGTAATCCCCTACCTAGACAATCTTCTGTTCTTGGCAAGCTCAGAAGAACAGTTGTGGAAGGACTTTCAGGTAGCCTGCAGCCTTCTGGAAAGTCTGGGCTGGATCTTAATCGTACAAAAATCCAACCTGACCCTGTCCAAGAACGTTTTGTTTCTGGGGTTCTGCACCTGTTCAGCAGAACAGAAGATTCTTTTGCCAGAAGTAAAGACGCAGAAAATATGGGTGGCTTTGACTCGTCTTCAGGGCAACCACCAAGTTTCAATCAGGTTTTGAGGTCAGCTCTTGGCCTGTTAACAGCCTCCATTCCAGTGGGCAAGGATACACTTCAGGCCCCTTCAGCTATTCATCTTGAGAGTTTGGAACAGAGACTTGGTCGCGCTGAACAAGAAAGTGAGGGTTCCTTCCAGGGTGAAGAGATCTCTCTGGTGGTGGAAGAGGCAGGAGGTTCTCTCAAAAGATCTAACCTTGTCCTTTCCAATAGAAAGGATCCTTACCGTGGATGCCAGCTCCTGGGGAGCGCACCTGGGAGGTCAGCTTGCACAGGAGCAGTGGTTGAGGCTGCAAAGGTCAAACTCAAACTGGAGAGAATTAAAGGCAATTGCTTTGGCTCTCTTGGCTTTCTCTCAGGAGCTCCAGGGTCAGCACGTGCAGGTTTGCACAGACAACGCCACAGTGGTAGCCTATGTAAACAGGCGGCACAAGAAGCAGGAGTCTTCAAGTCTGGCGGAATAAATTTTGTCCTGGGCAGAGGTCAGTTCAGCTTCTATGTCAGCAGTCCATTTCAACGGCTTACTAAACCTGGTAGAAGACTTCCTGAGCAGACACCAGCTGAAGGAGGGTGAATGATGACTAAATTGGGACATTTTCCTCAGCTTAGTTCAAGATTGGGGTCAGCCACAAATAGATCTGTTTGTGAATCGAGAGAATACCAAAACCGGTCAGTTCTTTTCCCCGAAGCTGGAGCAGTAGGGATAGATTCCCTCGCTCAAAGGTGGAGCTTCCAGCTGTGCTTCACTTTTCCCCACTTCCAACTAATTCCTCAGGCTCTGAAGAAGGTTCACACAGAAAGAGCACAGGTTATTTTTGTGGCTCCTTTCTGGCTGAAAAGGTCGTGGTTTGCAATCAGACCATATCGGACGCTTCCACTCAGGAAGGACCTGCTACTACAGGGTCCTCAGTCATCCGAAAGTGGAAAATCTGCGCCTCACAGCGTGGTTTTTGAAAGGCAACTACTAGAAAAGAAGGGCTTCTCAGAACGCTTAGTAGACACTCTCCTAACAAGTTGCAAGGGGTCACGAGGGCTATTTACGGAAATGTTTGGAAGATATATACCGTATTTTTCGCTCCATAAGATGCACCTAGGTTTTAGAGGAGGAAGACAAGAAAGAAAATATTCTGAACCAATGGACTGCAGACATAGTACAGGAAATGACCAGAGACTGCAGACGCAGTACAGGAGATGACCAGAGACTGCGGACGCAGTACAGGAGATGACCAGAGACTGCGGACATGGTACAGGAGATGACCAGAGACTGCGCACGCAGTACAGGCGATGACCAGAGGCTGCGGACGCAGTACAGGAGATGACCAGAGACCGCGGACACTCTACAGGAGATGACCAGAGACCGCAAACACGGTACAGGAGATGACCAGAGACCGCAAACACGGTACGGAGGAGATGACCAGAAACCGAAAACACGATACAGGAGATTACCAGAGACCGCAAACACGGTACAGGAGATGACCAGAGCCTGCGGACACAGTACAGATGATGACCAGAGCCTGCGGACACGGTACAGGGAATGACCAGAGACTGCGGACGCAGTACAGGAGATGACCAGAGACTGCGGACATGGTACAGGAGATGACCAGAGACTGCGGATGCAGTACAGGAGATGACCAGAGACTGCGCACGCAGTACAGGCGATGACCAGAGGCTGCGGACGCAGTACAGGAGATGACCAGAGACCGCGGACACTCTACAGGAGATGACCAGAGACCGCAAACACGGTACAGGAGATGACCAGAGACCGCATACACGGTATAGGAGATGACCAGAGACCGCAAACACGATACAGGAGATTACCAGAGACCGCAAACACGGTACAGGAGATGACCAGAGCCTGCGGACACAGTACAGATGATGACCAGAGCCTGCGGACACGGTACAGGGAATGACCAGAGACTGCGGACACGGTACAGGAGATGACCAGAGACTGCGGACACGGTACAGGAGATGACCAGAGACTACGGACACGGTACAGGAGATGACCAGAGACTGCGGACACGGTACAGGAGATGACCAGAGACTGCGGACACGGTACAGGAGATGACCAGAGACTGCGGTCACGGTACAGGAGATGACCAGAGACTGCGGACACGGTACAGGAGATGACCAGAGACTGCGGACACGGTACAGGAGATGACCAGAGACTGCGGACACGGTACAGGAGATGACCAGAGACTGCGGACACAGTACAGGAGATGACCAGAGACTGCGGACATAGTACAGGAGATATAAAAAAAAGTGCAGCGCTTAAAGAATGATAAACACAGTCCAGTGAAAGAAGTGCTCCGTGATTCCTAGTGCAAATGGTGGAAATTTACACTAACCAGATAGCGTAAAATTATACGCATGTGTGTATAAATCCTGTGGAATCCCCTTCTCCACTTGGATCTGGTCAAAAGAATAGCCGGAAAAGGTAGGTATCCTGTGCCCTCATGTGGTGAAAGAGTGGTCCAGCAGGTCAGAGCGATGCCAATCTGAGGAAAGCCTCCCCCGTCCCAGGAGATCCTTAGGGGCTGTGAAAATGGAAGAAGCTCCTCACAGGAGACACAGGGGAGTACTCATAGTGTAGTAGATAAGGCTTTTATTGTAAAATATCTGTGCACAAAGAACAGGGTATAGGCAGATATGGATGAATCACACTGACCCCTTGATATCAAAGATGGCCGCCGGGCCTCCTCGTGGCACCGGCGGCTTAGTGTCAACGGCGTCCTGGGTCCCACCTGACGCGTTTCGTGCGCACGCACTTCTTCAGAGGTGGAACAAAGGAACCGCCGTGACCGTCTCTTCTGACATATATATCGTAACTGGCGCATGCGCACTAATGCGGCGCCATCTTGGCGAGGTCCGGGCGTCCGCAATTATCAAGTGCGCATGCGCGAGTGCCATTTTACCATGGGCAAAGATGAATGCAGGAATCTGAAAAAACGGCTCCCTCCTAGTGGAGTCCGGGCCTCCGTATTTGCGCAAACGCGCATGCGTGGACGCCATTTTGCCATATGACAAAAGACACAGTGCCCAGCGCTGACAGAGACAGTCTTGGTAATGACAGACGTCATGTGCGCTATAACCTGGTTCAATAATAAATGGTCTTTTGTGGGGAAAACTCTTTCAAGAGGTATCCAATATGGAATGATGTCTGGGAGAAAAAATAAAATTAAAGGGGTTTCCAAATAAATGTAAAATAGCCAGGACAAGGGCTTATAGGATTAATAGTGGATAAACCAGTGTCCTAACTAAGGGGGCCAATAAGACCATAAACCCCATTAAATAAGCCAATGATTAAAATATAAATTTTAATAGATTATCAAGCCCCAAACATAGGTGGTAATCCTATGTATTAGGCCAAAGCGACATGATAAAATGGCATTTTTAAAATTGTTTGTAAAATACCTGTCATATGGAGGTTCAAACCCACAATGGCAAGGTATTCGGATATAAAATAAATACACGCTTATGTTAACGGACAAAATAATTACAGTGCTAAGAAGGACATGTGTCATAAGCATGTGTCATAAAATACAGAATCAAAATACACAATACAAAAGGCTGGGAATGTAATCCAATTCTATTGGGTTTCCTTAATGGATATGTGGATATCAGGGTTACGCAAAAGTAAAATTAACATACATAAAATGGAATGAAAGAATAAATGTGTAGTGGCTCCCTGTTAACTCAAGGATATATCAGCATAATTTCATGTAGGCCCACGTAGGTTCAGCTGTTATCAATGTAACAGTTGACGTCAAGCTCTATGGAATTAATAGCTAATATGGATAGACAGGAATTATTGAGTACCCAGACTAAACCACTTAAACTTTGGTTTGTCCATTTATCACCACATTCTCGACTCAGCACAGATCCTTAAAACATATAATCACCAAAAATTGGGGGATCCTGAAGGCTGACTCCACGCTCACCAAGATACTCCCGGATAAACCTGAGGTAATCTTCCGCAGATCATCTACTCTGTGAGATAAAATAGCTCCTAATGTGGTCTCTCTGCCTATACCATCTCCCTCTCTGTTCAGCTATACTGGCTTCTATCCATGTAACAAATGCATTGCTTGCAAGTGTATTGGGGTGAGGAAGAGAAAGATTGATACTTTCGCCTCTAACCAGACTAGGAAATCATACAACATTGAAAAATTCATTTGCTGCAATAGTAGGTATGTTGTATACTTACTAGAATGTCCTTGCTCCAAGCAATACATTGGAAGGACAACTAGACGGCTTAGGGACCGCCTCCGGGAACATGTCAATAATATAAAAAAGGGGTACAAGGAACACTCCCTGTCTCTCCATTATAGGAAACATCACCATAGAGACCCCTCCAGTCTGAGATTTGTTGGTATTGATGTAGTAACCCCACACTGGAGAGGAACTTTTAAGACCAGGGCGGTCTCACAGATGGAGACTAAATATATCTTTGAATTGGACACTTTGTACCCCGCAGGTTTGAATATTGAGCTTGACGTCAACTGTTACATTGATAACAGCTGAACCTACGTGGGCCTACATGAAATTATGCTGATATATCCTTGAGTTAACAGGGAGCCACTACACATTTATTCTTTCATTCCATTTTATGTATGTTAATTTTACTTTTGCGTAACCCTGATATCCACATATCCATTAAGGAAACCCAATAGAATTGGATTACATTCCCAGCCTTTTGTATTGTGTATTTTGATTCTGTATGTTATGACACATGCTTATGACACATGTCCTTCTTAGCACTGTAATTATTTTGTCCGTTAACATAAGCGTGTATTTATTTTATATCCGAATACCTTGCCATTGTGGGTTTGAACCTCCATATGACAGGTATTTTACAAACAATTTTAAAAATGCCATTTTATCATGTCGCTTTGGCCTAATACATAGGATTACCACCTATGTTTGGGGCTTGATAATCTATTAAAATTTATATTTTAATCATTGGCTTATTTAATGGGGTTTATGGTCTTATTGGCCCCCTTAGTTAGGACACTGGTTTATCCACTATTAATCCTATAAGCCCTTGTCCTGGCTATTTTACATTTATTTGGAAATCCCTTTAATTTTATTTTTTCTCCCAGACATTATTCCATATTGGATACCTCTTGAAAGAGTTTTCCCCACAAAAGACCATTTATTATTGAACCAGGTTATAGCGCACATGACGTCTGTCATTACCAAGACTGTCTCTGTCAGCGCTGGGCACTGTGTCTTTTGTCATATGGCAAAATGGCGTCCACGCATGCGCGTTTGCGCAAATACGGAGGCCCGGACTCCACTAGGAGGGAGCCGTTTTTTCAGATTCCTGCATTCATCTTTGCCCATGGTAAAATGGCACTCGCGCATGCGCACTTGATAATTGCGGACGCCCGGACCTCGCCAAGATGGCGCCGCATTAGTGCGCATGCGCCAGTTACGATATATATGTCAGAAGAGACGGTCACGGCGGTTCCTTTGTTCCACCTCTAAAGAAGTGCGTGCGCACGAAACGCGTCAGGTGGGACCCAGGACGCCGTTGACACTAAGCCGCCGGTGCCACGAGGAGGCCCGGCGGCCATCTTTGATATCAAGGGGTCAGTGTGATTCATCCATATCTGCCTATACCCTGTTCTTTGTGCACAGATATTTTACAATAAAAGCCTTATCTACTACACTATGAGTACTCCCCTGTGTCTCCTGTGAGGAGCTTCTTCCATTTTCACAGCCCCTAAGGATCTCCTGGGACGGGGGAGGCTTTCCTCAGATTGGCATCGCTCTGACCTGCTGGACCACTCCTTCACCACATGAGGGCGCAGGATACCTACCTTTTCCGGTTATTCTTTTGACCAGATCCAAGTGGAGAAGGGGATTCCACAGGATTTATACACACATGCGTATAATTTTACGCTATCTGGTTAGTGTAAATTTCCACCATTTGCACTAGGAATCACGGAGCACTTCTTTCACTGGACTGTGTTTATCATTCTTTAAGCGCTGCACTTTTTTTATATTTTGAATTGTGGGACTTTATATGCGTTTTCCTTTTATGTTCAGCTGCTGCCACCAGTATTGAGCGCTTACTGTATATTTTACTTTATATAGTACAGGAGATGACCAGAGACTGCGGACACAGTACAGGAGATGACCAGAGACTGCGGACACAGTACAGGAGATGACCAGAGATTGCGGACACAGTACAGGAGATGACCAGAGACTGCGGACACAGTACAGGAGATGACCAGAGACTGCGGACACAGTACAGGAGATGACCAGAGACTGCGGACACAGTACAGGAGATGACCAGAGACTGCGGACATAGTACAGGAGATGACCAGAGACTGCGGACATAGTACAGGAGATGACCAGAGACTGCGGACATAGTACAGGAGATGAACAGAGACTGCGGACACAGTACAGATGATCAGAGACTGCGGACACAGTACAGACGACCAGAGACTGCGGACACAGTACAGGGGATGACCAGAGACTGCGGACACAGTACAGGGGATGACCAGAGACTGCGGACACAGTACAGGGGGGATGACCAGAGACTGCGGACACAGTACAGGGGATGACCAGAGACTGCGGACCTTTGGGGAGGGAGGGGGAGCGGGTACCCAAATTTGACAGGTACCTGCTCCCACTTCTGCAGAGTTATCCTCCCTCCCCGTATTCTGGGACACATGACAGGTCCCAGAAGACTGCCGGACCAGTCACAAAGCGCAGCTTTTCTCACTGTCACAGCCGGGTGCCCACACTAAAGATGCTGGTGCCGGGAGAGAAGACTGTACAGCACTGGACCGGAGGAACAGGTAAGGCTCTGCTGCAGAGAAGAGCCCAGCGGCTGGCCCAGTATTCTGACACAGTGGTGGCGGGAATACCGGACTGGCCACTCTATATTCGCTCCATAAGATGCACAGACATTTTCCCCCATTTTTTGGGGGGAAAAAAGCGCATCTTATGGAGCAAAAAATACGGTAACTCCTGGTGTCTAAACAATTCAAGATCTTTGGAAGACATCACCTCAGTTCTGGAGTTTCTTCAACAAGGAGATGACAGGAAGTTAGCAGTCAGAATGCTGAAAGTCCAGGTTGCAGGTTTAGGGGTCTTTCTGGAGCTCTCAATCTCCTTGGATCCCCTAGTTATCAGATTCTTCAAGGCTTTGTCTCGATCCAGGCCAGTAAAGCAAAAGCTTTCCCTAAATGGGATCTTTCACTAGTCTTGCAAGCTCTAGCCAAGTCTCCCTTTGATCCTTTGGACCCCGAAAGTATATCATGTTGAAGACAGTTCTGTTAATTGCGGTCATCTCCACACACAGGAGCACAACTCAGCCAGGAGGTCATGAAAGAACCCAAAACAATATCTAAAGAACTGCAGGCCTCACTTGCCGCAGTTAAGGTCAGTGTTCATGATTCAAGAAAAAGCTTGAAGTGGCTAGTATAAAATTGTCCACGTTGCAATATGGCAAGGAGTCGGGGGGGTTGGTGGTTCCTGAACCCAGACTTTATTTTCTGGCGGCCCAATTGCAGCAACTGGTTGGCTGGGACTCACCTGATAATACTGATCCCATTATTAGTTTGATTTCCCTTCCTGATCCCACCATTTCGGCTCTCTCATCTTGAGATGGCTCTATCGGTCCTTCCATCCACAGCTCCAACTGCGGACCTCTTGAGGCGCGTTTGGAGTACGGTAAAAGTGTCCTTTCATATTACCAGCTTTCTTTCCTGTACTCCCTTGTGGAATAATCCACAATATGTAAAACTGGCTAAACTGGAGGTTTTTCACGACTGGAGGGATCGAAGCCTGAAATTTGTATCTCAGCTGTATTCGGGGGCAATCCTAAAGTCCTTTTCTCAACTGCAAATGGAATTAACATTTACACATAAGCATTTTTATTGTTATCTTCAGCTACACCATGCAATACAGGCTCAGTCTTTGCTCTCTAATCTCACATTGATAGACTCAGTCTTTCTTAAGGATGTCACTCAGGAAACCAATAAGAAGGGCATGATTTCTCGGGTATACTCCCAGCTATTGTCCATAGTACAGAATCAAGCTAGTCTCCAGAGCAGGGCCTAGTGGTCTCAAGATATTGTAGAGTTTGCTGGTGATGTCTGGGATGCTGCCCTGGAATCTGTTCCCGGAATTTCTCTTTCTCCCTCTCATAAATTGTCTCAATTGTTTATTCTCCATCAAGCGTATAGGACCTCTGTGCAACTGTATCAGTGGGGCAGGTGGGATTCACCTGATTGTCCAAGGTGTAGGGTCCAACAGGGTAATTTCATTCATATGCTCTGGCATTGCCCCAAGTTACATAGATATTGGAGTGAGGTTCTCCAATTTATTTCTCTAGTATCACAATATACTGTTCCCCAGGATCCCTTGCATTGTCTGTTGGGGGCACTGGACCAAGAACTGTTCCAACCAGGAGGATATATTATGGTATCTAGACTTTTATATCCGGCTAGGAAGTTAATAGCAAGGTACTAGTTATCGTCCGCTCCCCCGACTAGTAAGCAATGGATAGATTATGTTAATTCTTTACTCCCACGGGAGAAACTCATGTACCAACATCACAATGCTTATCGTAAGTTCCAGCAGGTATGGCAGGGTTGGCTGGATACACCGGGGCTCGCCCCTCCTCAATTGATAGTGGACTGACTTTTGCAGGTGTGATATTTTCTATCAGGTGCGTGGCTCCACTCCTCCCCCTGAGGGAGTTCATGTGCATCTCCCATTCTTTTTGATGAGACGTTTTGGGTAAACCAGAGGTGTTGTTGATGTGTTTTTTTTATTGTTTGAAGATATGTTTTGGGCTTTGTTCCTTTCCCCCATTTCTGTTTACATCTGGTCGAGAAGGAATAAGACGTAAAAAGGAAAAAGCAAGATATTGTCAAGAAAGTTTTGGATCCTTGAGGTTACCATTTCTGTTATTCTGTTTATTACGGGATCTGCGTATCCACGTTGTTCTTTTTATGTGTAATCCTGCTATTGCAGTAATGTCATTGTGGATTCTGTAAGTACTGTTCCATGTTCTCTATTATCTTGACAATAAAAGTTGTTTGGATTAAAAATAGAAAGAGTTTCGGGCAAAAATGGCATCCATGGGAGAGTTCCAAGGCAAAAGCCCTGCTGACCAAAAGAACATAAAGACTCATCTCACATTTGCCAAAAAAAAAATCTTGATTATTCCCTAGACTTTTGGGGAAATATTTTGTGGACTAATGAGACAAAAGCTGAACTTTTTGGAAGGTGTGCATCCCATTACATCTTGTGTAAAACTAACACAGCATTTCACAAAAAGAACATCATACCAACCATCAAACATGGTGGTGGTAGTGTGATGGTCTGGAGCTTGTTTTCAGCTTCAGGACCTGTATGACTTGCCATAATTGATGGAACCATGAATTCTGCCCTCTACCAGAAAATCCTTAAGGAGAATGTGCAGCGAGCAATTCATGACCTCAAGATCATGCGCACTTGGGTTGTGCAGCAGGACAAAAATCCAAAACACACCAGCAAGTCCACCTCTAAATGGCTAAAAAAAAAAAAAAAAATTAAGGTTTTAGAGTGGCCTAGTCAAAGTATAGATCTTAAACAGGCCATTCATGCTCGAAAAACCCTCCAATGTGGCTGAATTAAAATAATTCTGCAAAGAAGAGTGGGCCAAAATTCCTCCACAGTAATGTAAAAAGCCCATTGCCAGTTATCGTAAATGCTTGATTGTAGTTATTGCCACCAAGGGTGGCACAACCAGTTGTTAGGTTTAGGGGGCTAATGCTTTTTCACCTAGGGCCAGGAAGGTTTGGACAGCTTTTTCCCTTAATAAATTAAATAATTTAAAAACTGCATTTTGTATTTGCTCTGATTATCTTAGTGTAATTTTTAAATTTGATGATCTAAATCATTTAAGCATCAAAAGTATGCTAAAAATTAAAAAAATCAGGAAATCAGCAGATACGTTTTCACAGCACTGTACATACATCCATAAACATATAAACACACATGAATATATACATACACACACATAGCCTTTTTAAAAATTGCCTTGTACTTCTGGGTACTGCACTGTAGGGGGAGGTGGAGAGCTCAGGACTTAGGGAGACACCTCCATCTTCCACTGCTACCACTTTTCTGACTGCAATTCACTGTCCTGATTGAGCTCCCAAGGTGCTGATGCACAGTCTGGTGGTAGAGTGGGAGCTCGGTCTCATCTGAATGCCTTTCTATACCAGGATGCTACAGCACCCCTGACAACCTCAGACAGCACCCCAGGGTGCCGCAGCATCCTGGTTAAGAAAGGCTGATATAGACAACCATACAGTTTGAGAGAGGACATATAGTTTGAGAGAGGACAATGGTCAGTTGCGGGTCTGTTGCATTTTTCAAAGTCCTGCTTGCTGCATTTTTGGTGCATGTTTGGTGCAGTAAAAAAAAAAACAAAACCCATTGAAATGATTGGACATTGACTCAAAAATGCAACGGGGATGCATTTTTTATGCACAGGTGCAAAATGCGGTTTTTACCGTTTTTATGCAAATAGAAATGTGAAAGTAGCCTAAAGCATGATCTCCAATTCACACAGAAAAAAATTCCTTCAGAAAAAAATTCCTTGCTGATCTGCCATAAGGCAATGGGATATTCTCTGTATCAATTACCACTGTTGAGGGCCCAGTTACCTATGCTGAGGGCCCACAACAAAGCGAAGATATTGCTAATGTGCTGGAAAATTAGGGACATGCATTTATGTGCCCTTGATGTCTACAGAGGCCATAATGACTCTCTGATAAAGAGAAGCTTTGACAAACCTAGTGGATGCTATAATAAACATTGGGCAGTACTAGGGTCGCTGGTTCAAATCCCAACCCCGGCACCACCTGCCTGGAGTTTGCATGTTCTCCCTGTGATTGCGTGCGTTTCCTCCGGGTACTCCGGTTTCCTCCGACACTCCAAAGACATGCTGGTAGGTTAATTGGCTCCTGTCTAAATTGTCCCTAGTATGTATATGTATGAATGTGAGTTAGGGACTTTAGATTGTACGCTCCTTGAGGGTTTTGTGACTGATGTGAATGTACAATATATGTATGTAAAGCGCTGCATAAACTGACAGCGCTATATAAGTACCTGAAATAAATAAATAAATAAATTTGGGACCTAATGAAAACATTCAGGGTCTAGATATCCAAAGTGTGGCACTTCCCCCCTTTTGTTTTTGGAACTGTGAAAAGGTTGGAATAAAATACTTGACACCATCCTGAAACCAGAACTGGAGCGATAACTCCGGTTCCAGAAGACTGGCAAGGAATGCATCAAGGTCTGCCTTCTGAGCAATGACACTAGAAGGTTGAAAGAAAAGAAGCAAAGAGGGGGATTGAGAGTGGAACTGTATCTTCTAGCCTGCTGAAAACATCTCCCATACCCAAAGCATTTGAGATATTGCTCAAATATCCACAAAGGGTAACAGACATCAACCTGCTTTGTAAAGTGGGGCATCCCTTCATTTTAAAGAGAGTTTGTCAGGTTTGGGGGATTCAGAAGTTAAGGATTTGTCCTAAAGGATAAGTTCACCTTTAAAGAAATAAAATAAACGCACATCTTTTTCCAAGTAAAAAAAGTGCATTTATATTTTTTTTATTAGGAGCCTGCAGAGCTGATCAGCAAATTCAGGGCTCCTGCAGACTGCAGCCAGTGTAAGCTGTTTGCTCATACCTCATTTAGGCAGGCAGTTACCCAATGACAGGAAGAATCAATGAATTGCTTAGAGCACTCACCAGCGTCCTTCATTGAGAACTACAAGCCATTAGCCCCAAAGGCTGATGTTAGTTGTAGTTCTCCCATTCACAGGCCTCTTAAGG